TTTTCATATTWATTTGTAAATCAACTCTGTTGGTCTCATTTCACATTAAGGAACTTGTGACTGTTCTGTTTATTTACCTGCAAAAATGTTTTTCTTTATTTCTGAAAAGGTTGTGTTTTTTTGGACATACAAGGTTTCTGGTCAGCTTGGAAACTACAGGTTCAGGTTCGTGTYCTGTGTGAACTGAGGCGTTTACACCCCTGGTATGAGTGCTCAAATCCAGTTGGTGTTTTTGGTTATTAGTGAACCCACAGGAGTTTGTTGCRCGTATCAAACTGCTGCAATCTTTTGACCGTTTCCATAGAAACTCTGTATGACACAAACCGAGTTTTTCCATCACTTACTGACTGCTATTCCCATCTGCTTGCCAATTTGCTTTGCTGAACTAATGAGAAGTTCTRTCAGGCAGCAGCCTTGACAAATACCCACGTTGATTCATGTGTGCCACCTCTGAGTGTACAAACTTTTGGACCTGCTGTCTGGCAGACGATCTTGGGACTGGCTGTACCAAGAAGTTAAGAGCCACTCAAGTAAGAAATGAGCCAAAGGGAATTGGCTCAATTAAGTATGAATGGCAACAATAGGTTTTAAAAGGGACGAAAACTGTAAAAAATAAGTGTACAGTGGTCTGACATTTAGAAACAGATTTCCTTTCATCATTTAGGCTTAAACTAATGGAAGAGGGCATGAACAAAGCTGGCTCTCTGTTTATTTTTAACACATCTAATGAACCTTGGCATGTGAGAATCAGAACAGACAAGTGAAGGTAAACRAGAGAAACTGCATTTCCCTGAGAAAATTAAGTCTGAATGCTGAGTGCTGAATGACTTTGCTTATGTAAGATGAGCCCAGTTTTGCTGCCTTTGAAAGCAAAAAGAAATAGAACTTGAGCTAAAAGATAAACAGAGCAAAACACTAATGGAAGCTAAAATAAGRAAAATACTAGCTAAAAGCTAACAGTGGAAAATTCTACCTAAATGTAACAAAATTGTATCTAGTGGCTAAAAGGAACAAAATCTAAAAGGCTAATAGTAGTGAAAAAATATGGGGTGCCGTTTGTAAAGTTACAGTCAAAAATTACCACCAATTTTTTTGTTTTATTTAGCCTTTTATATATATATAAAAAACATATTGATTTTTCAAAGTCAGTTTTTCACCATATGATTCATACATTTATAAATGTCAGTTTGCAAACTAAATATTTAACTTACAAATTAAATATTTAGTTAATGAGCTAAATATTTAACTTGCGACTTAAATATTGTCATGGTCTGTGTTTATTTTCTTTAACTTTCTAGTGTTTTCAATGTTCCCCTGTTTTGCTCTGCCCTTTAGCCCCACCC